GTGTATGACATCTCAGGGGGAAAAAAGCACCGAAATGTGCGCTACTTGTCACGATGAGTTGTATGGCTGTCAGTGGCTGGACCCACGTGTAGGACTCGGAGACAAAACATTAACTTAAACGACGACTTTATTTGCTGGAGAGTCACCCTTGGGCGATACATAAACAACAACTTAAACTAACTAGACAGGAGACGCTGAAGGGAGACACCCATGGATACACACACAACAACTGGCAGGGAAAAACACAGGGCTTAAATACATACTGAGGTGATTAGGGAATGTGAAACAGGAGGAGAGCACAGCTGGGACTCATCAGACATGACAAGACAAGGGGAGGCAAAACTCAACATATTGACACAGTACACAAACTTTCAAAGTAAAACAGGAAACTGAACAGACGTGGACTAAACTAGGGGATACAGTGACAGAAATCAAACCCAAGAGAATCAAAACACATCATGAAATCAAAGATAACTAATACAAACAGAAAAACACTGAGTCCACAGACTCAGAACCGTGACACTACTTTTCAGTCTGGTTACTACCATTTATGTCAGAACCGGTATCATTGATACCGGTACCCATCCCTAATTATGATACGGCTGACCTGACTTTAAACTGTTTCAATTGCAGTTTCAATTGTTCAATTGGACCCAATGACTCCATTAGTCATTTAGAAAAGTGTGACAACGAGACTTTTTTAATTACTATAATTTTATACTTACTATTTATTTTACACTCAACCATATAACTGAGGGTTTTACCATAATATTGTAAAAAAATTTTTTATTAGATTAGTATGTGCAATATCTTCAGAATTACATCCCCTTTCCACTTAATCCTATTTGGCCAGCCACGGCATTTAATATTTAATATGAAGTAAGCTCAAATTTTAACAGAACACAATGTTGTCATTGTAAGAAATTTATGCTATTGTGGTACCTCCAAAATCTTAAGTACACCTTCCTCAGTTTGGATGATGCTGTGCATAAATCAAATGCTGATTAGTTGATAATTGGATGTTTTAATTAGTTAATTTGTATAATTAGTTAATTTTCTGCTGGAGGTTTTTTCCTGTTTGCTTCCCACTATTGCCAAAGTGCTTGGCTTGATGGTGTCAAAATCACGTCACAGAAGTGATTTTACTCAGACCTCTACATTGGCGAGACCAAACAGCCACTTCATAAACACATGGCACAACGTAGAAGAGCCACTTCCACGGGACAAGACTCGGCTGTCAATCTGCATCTAAAGGACAAAGGTCACTCTTTCGAGGATGCCAATGTTCACATTTTGGACAGAGAAGAAAGATGGTTTGAAAGAGGAGTGAAAGAAGTCATGTCCACTGTGAACGACCATCTTTTAACAGAAGCCATCTATAATCCAGTTTTGAGATCCCCTCCCAGATGCCTTAACACCCACTCACATCCTGGGCCATTTGACCTCAGTAAATCACATGATAGGATGGGGCTAGGTTTCAGAGTTGGTTCACCTTGGCTGATTGTGACCCACACCCATTTCCACACCTTGGCTTGTGTGATTGGGTAGAGAATCAAAGGGGGTCAATGAACCTCTTGGGGACAATCCCATATGGCTTAAAATCTGGGACTGTCCACCAATCGCTCTTAGAACTGAAGCAGCTTCTCGGATAAGAGGTGAAACATCTTCAAGGAAACTTAAAGAAGCCCAGAAGCTTTTCTTTCCAAACTCCTTAGACTTCACAGAGTAGGTTTGAGTAAAAGTGTTACTCCCTTCATGCTGACTGGAAATCATAATTTACTTCCAGGTGTTGGTTCTTGTGTTATTACTGCAGTTAAGAAAATTACTCTTTTTCTATAATACAAAGTGCAACTTGGCTACTAGTAACCACAATCGGTGCCGGGTAACACTATAAAAGTTGTTCTCACAATGCGGTGTCCAATCCAATAAATAAGAAAACTTACTTACACTCTTTCTGGTAGAAACTTCACGTTCTCAGAGTTTTTAGAAAACATTTCAATAACATCACCTTGTAACATTCCCAAAACGTTCCCAGATGGTTAATATGTAGACGTTTATTATTTATATTAATTATATTTATTATTTATTATTTGGCAGACATTTAGGAGAAATTCAGAACAGTCTGAAAATCTTTAGGGCAGCAGTAATATAAAACATCCCTCCTGTGTGTCCACACTGGATTGAGATAACATTTATAGTGCCTTTAGTGACATTATGTTTTTGCTTCTCTGTTGTTCTCAAGGAAATAAATGCACTCTTTCCGCCCATATAATAACCAAAATGGAACATTCTACTAAAATCATACAGGAAACTGGGAGTTACAACCATTTCACGATCATAATGTAACCTTTTAATAACATCCTTGATGTTTTGTGAGGGTTCAGGACATTTGTTACAAGTTACAGCCCCCTTTTTTCCAGCCTGCGTCATGCAATTTACTGAAAAAGAGAGGGTCTTGGTGAGATGAAACAGAGTACTGTAAGTGTAACAATACAATGTCTGTTGTTGTTCCATAATAGGAACAATGTGCCATGGTAAACAACACTTGACCTCGAGGGTAGAATCAATACTCACCTCTTTCACAAGACAGCATGTCATTCAGCCAAAAACGCTGCCTGGCCAGCCAGATAGCCAAAGCAACAGATGTCTCCATCAAGCCAAAAGAGTTTATCTGCACACAGTTCCTTCCTTTTTATTGTAACATCATGAATATTCACCAATACAAAAGCCACTGCAAGTTAAAATCAACTTTCGAATACACTGTTATTTATTCTTTTACCATTTGCACAAAGCGGACACAACATATCATGAAATGTATACACCTGGATGCAGTCGGTTTATATACTTCACACCACGTAAACTTTACATAACCACCTTTAAGAGAAGAGAAAAAGAAACATACTCAGTTGAGCCTTTTAAAGAATACATTCAGACAGAACCACTTTGGTCCAGGAAAGGGAGTGACCCAAGCTCCTAACTTTAAATGCAAACATGGTTATGGTCACAGCTTAAAATACATGTAGTAGCTTGAAGCTAAATTAGGATATAGCTCTACTGAATCCTATTTTCTTTGACGTGTACAACATTCCTTTATTACTTTGTGAAATGTCTACAAAACAATGAAAAAAAGATCTAAAAAAAACACTGCAAAGATACTTGTGGCAGGACCACGATCGATGTACTTCCCAGCAAAAATGTGGCTGTCTACCTGCTCTATTACTATCCTCAGCAGATGTTGATGAAAAATAACTTCAGCCTGCAATTTTTTCCCACCTCAACAGAAGGAACTGACTGAAGTGTTAATGCACAGAGTCTTGATCTGAATGAGAAACACGTTGCCGCTGTGGGCTACAAAATGGCACTGAGGAATCACAATGAGAGTAGTTTCCATAATAAAACAGAGAGCTGTGTCTACTTCTTGCCTTATACAGGCATGGTGTTTGGGAATGTCCTGTGGTGCTTTACTGTATATGCTAGAGGGAGACTGACTCATACTAACCTCTGACCTCTGTGCTCTATGTCAAGCCACTTGCACTGGTTTCTATCAAACCTCTGCCGGCAGCCCATTATTCATCTTACATCCACAAATCTGGAATACTGAAACTACACACATTCATACCCTGAAAATACACACTACCCACTCAAAGACATGCGTGGGAAATATGGACTGCAATCAAATAAAATCACCTGTATAAACACATATATAGAGAGACATAGTATCTACCAATTATAAATTAACATTGTGCAAATAGATACATATAAAGTCAAGTTCAGTTAGTTCTGGCAAAAGGTTTCAGCAATTCAGATATTCATTTCTGCTCTGCAGGTTGCTTCCCTTCTTTGAAAATAAATGCTATCAGACACAAATGTACCACTGTCTGATTAGCTTTGTTTGCCACTCCAAAGCATGCTTGTTCAGCTTTTGTGGTGCAGAGTTTTGTTCAAAAGTGTTCACAGCCACTGCAGACATGGTACGCATACCATACTCTGTTGGTATGGTTACTTGGCGAATCCAGTCACTAGCAGTTATTAGCAAAGACGTTTTCGTCTGACACGATGGCACCGTAGAGTGATTATTCACACAACTCTCAAGTTAAGCTTGCAAAATTTACGCAGTCTTCATGCATGAAGTCCCAAGACCATCCTCGCGCCAGAGGTGACGCGCCATATTTAGGAACGATGCTGGAGTCACACCTTTACAGGCCGTAAAGGTCTGTGTATTTTTATCCTTGATTGGATAACCACCCTGGATTCAGGGGCGAGGCATGTCATTTAGACAACATCTTGATGGCAGAAGGTAGAAAAGGAAATGCGTGTAGTGGCAAAGGAATTCGACTATCACCTTAAAACATACACGGCAAGTTTAAACAGCTGCAACAATAGCAATCAGCAGTATTCAACTAATATAAAAAAGATGTATTTTAATCTAAAAGACATAAGAAAGTCAAGTGATGATGATTTTAGCTTATTTATAATTGATCCTATACCATCGCTTGACCTCCTTTAATGTCCACACGCAAGACGAGAAGGACCTGGGGACAGCAGCTGCCAGTTTCCCATGAGCCCTGAATGAGGTCACTTGAACAACACTGTGGTCACCATATTGTTTGAGGTATAGTCAACAGAATTTTTCTTTTTTTTCTGCACATTTTCATCTAAATCACATAGACAGGAAAACATTTACAGATATTAGAGCAAAGCATATATATTATATAATTATATATATATATATATATAATATATATATATTATATATAAGTGTGAAAAAACTGACAAAAAAAAAATCTATATATATGGGTGTGTGTGTGTGTGTGTGTGTGTGTGTGTGTGTGTGTGTGTGTGTGTGAAAAAAGGTTTCCCATCTGTTCCTACCTACATGTTATTTTGTATATTTTGTAGTCTTTTTTGTGTGTATTCAGTTCAATGCTCTCTTTGTATTTAAACTTTAGTACCAGAAATTTGATAGATAGGATAAGTTAAAGCAGAGGCTCAAGCAAGGACCCTGTGACCTTTACCGTTGGGGTTTATTTATTTATTTTTTTGTTACTTCAGGTTTCATGTTTGGTATGTCATTACGATCTTCCGTGGCTTATCTGCCTCGGGATGCTGTTGCAAAAATTGTTCAGCATGCAGCAGCTTATTATTCTGTGCTAAAAAACATCTAAACTAATCCGTTCACGAGACTCGCAGCACATTCGAAATGTCAGCGTGGATGCCCTTCCTGATCCTCCTCTCAGACTGTGGCGACAGCTCTCCAGTGACGCAGATCTCTGAGGGCCGACCTGAAAAGTGACACCATTAACTTGACTCTTTACAGCTGAGCAGGTCAGTCTGTCAGAGCACGATGAGAGCCCAAAGCCATCCAACTTCCTTTTTTAAGTAGTCCCAGTAGCTTTCACAGGTGGCTCTCCACGTTCTCTTTCTGCACTTCGTAACACTGCAGCTTGTCAGTAATGCTGATGTCCTCTACCAGGATATAGTTACTGATGGTCCCCTCGTGCAGCAGTGAGGCACACTTCTCTTCCTCCGTACTGTGGACCATGCCATTTTGGTTGCTAGCGACGAGCATGTGCCTCTCCTCAGGGCTACAGACTGGGGCGGTGGTTTTGGCGATGTCTGGGAGGTGAGGCATTCGAGGGGCGTGGTTTAAGAGACTGGTTGTTTTTGTGTTTGGGGTATTGCTATAGGTGTGGCGGTACTCCTCCTCAATGTTCCTCCCTAGCTTCCAGCGCTTCCACTTCTTCAGGATCTCAGACTGCACCTGGGGAGACAGCAGAGACATAAAGTAGACACTACAAAGCTTCGAACATCTGAAGATGGTGAAGATGGTGTATTTGTTGTGCAATCGAGATGACTCACTTCTTTGTTGACAAAGCAGTACAAGATTGCCACCAGGAGACCCTGTGAAGACAAACAATACTGATTTCATTCTGTCTACTAGCCATTTTCACCCACAATATTCACTTACATGCTACTCTGCAGCTATGAAAACATGAAACTGAATGTCTTCTAATATATGCACCACAATCCAGGCAGAAACTGCAAGTTTGCTTCTTTAAAATAAACCACAAGTGCCTTTGAGTAACATCTGTCTTAAGATGTAAGCCTCACAGCTATGTTTGCCATCTTTTGACTTTGAAATTCTCTTTTGCTCTGTCTGTTGGTCATCTGTCATATCTGTTTCCAGTGCCTAAAGGTCACTCTAATTATGTCACTGTGTGACAAAGTCATTTAGCAGTGCTCATAGTGCATTAATTTAATCTCTTCTGACACACAAATATTACAGCACATCACGACTGTCTCAGAGATGGAAAACTCACAGAAGCAGAGAGAGACAATTATGCAAGATTATTATTAGTTTTATTATTTTTTAGTAGCCCACAACATATTTCTAACTGTGATTGAGATGCTGTTACAGTTCGGACATTTAATCTTGTTAAGCTAACATTTGTTAACTTACAAAAAACAAACCTTAAAATTGCTGTTTTAACCCTTTTGTCACATCTCTCCACACAAACACTTGATATTGATAACACCCATTCACCCTTGATCAGGACTACTTGGCAAGCACAAAATTAAATTAACTAGTTTCCATCAATAAATCAGTTTGCGTGAGTTTTGTGTGAGTTCACGAGCTGTCACAGGGTGAGAGGTGAAACAACCCGGACAAATTGCCAGTTCATAGGCACTGAGTACCATGTATTACCAAGTAGTTTTCCATGGAAAGCGTTGAGGGCTATATTTAAGCCCAAATCACAATTCTCTCCCCTAAACCTCACCTTTTTGGTATCAAGCAGTAACTGATACCTAAACAAATCAGAGAAAAACTGGATGTGAATCATGACCTCCTGCCTTGAAAACCTACCAGCAACTGCCACCCTAAGTGCCTCCATATGTGGACTTTGCCTTTCTGGACCATTACGCCTTGGCATCCATTCTTGGCACAGCTGTAGCATGAAGGCTGTATTGTGTGCATCTCAGACAAACCGTAACCGTTTTTGATGGTTTGAGGTGTGTACCTTCTTTTCCTGTTCTGTACTTATGCAAGGACAGCTGAGGTGAATTATTACACCACATAAAGCTTTAACAATAACATTCATTGAAACCAGAGATGGCCTAATTCACTGTCCTGAGGCACACCACTCTCCTTAAGGTGATTAATGATGCTGAATCATACTAGAAATAGTGTTGTGAAAAAATAAACATGTTTCAAAGTTCATGACTGACAGTCATTTGTTGTTAAAGTCCAACCTGGAAGGAGGAGAAGAAGAGGTCAGAGAAGAGCCTGGTGAGACGCAAGCCGATGCTGCCACTGGTGGACTCATCTGTTGCGAAGATAAAGACCACATTATGGATCCCGAGCAGCGGGATCAAAGTTAGCGTTGACTTAGCCAACCTGGGACGGAGGAAAGGAGAGACAAAGGAGAGAAAGCAAAGACTAAGTAGAGAGAAAAAAACGCAAATCAAGAGAAAAACAACATCATATTCACACTCACCGAAACTTATAGTCTGTGTATCTCATTTGGTGTGCTCGGAGCTTTGACACGAGAATTTTGATGATATGGATGAAGATAAGGAAGTTGATCTGTAAGAGACAGAGAAAGACGGTGTTACTGGAAATAGTTTACTTATATTATGCAAAAGATGCCGTCATAAAGCTCATCTTTCTCCAGTACAGTGGAGATGGATCTTCCAGATGCATACAGGCCCAGAAAAATTGTGATTAATGAGAGAAATGGAAGAAATCCGAGTTACAAATATCACAAAGGATCAGCAGATAAAAGCATAACTATCTGCATTAGTCCCAATAGCTGTGCAAAAAAGTGTTTTCAAGCACATTGGGAAACCCTTTCATAATAGCTGGCATTTCAGACAACAGTAGGTGTTCTCCTGATGAAATCACTTATGATGTGACCTTTAATATTTTAAAATAATTTGTCATGGGTAATTTGTGGTGCTTGGACCTAATGCGTGCATTTGATTTCTGTCATGGATTGTTATATCAGCAGCCCAGTATGTACTGGCATGAGAATTTAATGGTGAACGGAACTGTGTAACGCTGCACAGTTATTCAACATTTAAACCATGCGGTAACTTGTAATATTTAAAAAAGGAGCTTAACCATAGCCATGATAAATTGTTAATCAATATTAATATGCACTTACTGGCCATTTCATTAGGTACATCTTACTAATATCACTTTAGAGCCAATATAGAAGTGTTTTAATTCATCATGGCATAGATTCAACACAGCCCTGAAAAGATTCCTCCGAGATTTTGGTCCATGTTAGTTGCACATCCATGATGTAAATCTCCTATTCCTCCACATGCCAAGTTATCCTGCTGGAAGCAGCCATCAGGTGATGGGTACAGTGTGGTGATAAAGGGATAAGCATAGTTGACAACAATGCTCAGGCAGGTTGTGGTATTTAAATGATGATCATTTGGTAGTAAGGGGTCCAAACTGAAAATATATATCTATTTTTTTGATCGCTCTGTAAACCAGCGGTCCCCAACCTTTTTTGCGCCACGGACCAGTTTATGCCCGACAATATTTTCACGGACCGGCCTTTAAGGTGTCGCGGATAAATACAACAAAATAAAACTAGTACCGGTACCGAAAAAAGAAGATTTATTCATAACACACGTGAAAAGACCCAGGAAAACCGAGTTAACGATAAAAACGATAACAAAATAACACTAAAACCCCATAAAACCATACATTTCACACCCGAGCCTCAAACGATGCTGAATCGTATTAGAAACGACTCACGGACCGATACCGGTCCGTGAACAGGGGGTTGGGGACCGCTGCTGTAAACCATAGAGATGATTGTAGGTGAAATACTCGGACCAGCCTGCACGGTACCGACAACGTGGTGCATTCAGCGTCACTTAAATCACTTGTCTTTTTCATTCTGATGCTCAGTTTGAAGTACAAAGTTTATGCCACGATGATGTATCAAAGTGGCCGGCGAGTGTATATAACAGATGCTAAGCTAACTATAGGCTGGCTAAATCTGTCAGCACACTGCGTATTAAACCACCTACATATTTATCTACATATGCATATCTGTAGTTCTATGTTTGCACAGACTTGAATGAAATTGCTGTAATTGTCAAAATATCTGTAACACCTGGAGCAGTCTAACATGCACACACTACACACACACAATTAATGTGAATACTACAGTGTAGTTTTCTACTGTGTCGTGCAGCTTGAGAATGGTGGGACCAAGATAAAGAGGGAAACAGTGAAATTGGGACCAGCCCTCCCATTCCAACAGCAACTCAAACACAGGAATTCCTGTGGGATACAGGTCACTTAGCTGGACGATAAATGCATGGAAAGTGCCAGGATGTCTGGCCTCACTTAAGAGCCATGACAAATTGGACTTGTGTAAACGCTTAGAAGTGACCTTTGCAGAACACATGTCTAATAAAAGTCCTGGTGACAGGATGAAGAGAGTATGCAGAGCTGGTCACAATGCAAATATTAATTTGATTTAATCCACAAATCTTTGAGTCCTGACAGGCTTCACAGAAGTTCTGGGTGAAGCACATCTTACCTTTAACACAACATGAATAAAAGAGGTGTGTTTAATATTTAACGGTGCACCGGTGATTCACAGTCATATACCACTTTAAGGCGAAGCTGCTTTTTTCCCATTAACGTTTACATGCAGAAATAATTGAAATGTTAAAAAAAGGACATGGCATAACAAGATGCGAAGACACATAACGAGGAGGAGGACGACGACAAAATTACCATAACAGCTGCCAGTATCGGAGCGCGTATGATCCACCAGTATTTCATGTTTATATTTTGCTCCCAGCAACTGAAAAGAATGAAAGAAAAGCACTGAATGAAATATCAGTGAGAGACCACCTGACATATTTCCTCTATTTTACTAGAACGCTTGTGGACACGGCTCACACTGTAAAACATGTTGTTAAGGCTTTTAAGACTTTACATAAGAGCGCAGTGTGACCTTAAAAGCACTTCATTTACTCCTTACTCCAGAATATTTGGCGTCCTGCCGAAAGCTAACATGAAATATTAAGAATGTGCAAACACAGCTGTTAAACCAGACTGGCATCCAGCAGGAGATAAAACATGTGTGAAAAGTTGAATTGCAGCCAATCCTTCATGTAGTAAATTGTGTGTTAAATTAACCGCAAGCATCAAGATTTTTGGAGAAAGACAATCTCCTGACTTTTTTTTGACATGGTGTCCTGATATAAATGTTACAAGCTAAAATTTAAACTCGTTGGCAGGTTTCCACCCTTGTTAAACAACCTGGAGAACAGGGAAGAGGGAAAGAGAGGGAAACTTACTCCTGATTTTCATACAGGTATTTAATCGCCACCCATGGCACGAGGAATATTAATGGGGTACCTGTGAAAAAAACAAGAGATGTCTAAATGCAAAACAGCCAATTAGCACTTGATAATTTGTATGCTCTTACTTCATTTGGCTCAATTCAAAAAGTATCGTATAACACATAACTGACTTGCATCCCCTGACTTATGACTTCACAGATTCAGGCCAGCTCACCCCAACCGATGCACTGGTAAATTTTGAAGTAGTTCCTCTCCGTAAACACAGTGATGACCAGGAGGTTGTGGAGGTAGATGCCTTCCACCAGCAACCAGTAGCTGTTAGCCATGATACTATACTGCATCATAACCATGGCAATGCGACAGCTGACCATTGTCTGCAAGAAAAGTTTAATATCACATATTTTACACTGCCGAGAAGAGTCCCCTGACACATTATTTAGCCGATGTGAGATTCAGGCTCTGTGCCCACAGAGGTAAGATTTTACAACAGCAGCAACTTTAAACCCAATTTCAGCCAATTTCAGCTGGGTGACAACCCAGCGCACATGATCCTCGTTTTATATATGTATCTCTTCCGCAGTAAACTACTGTATTTTATTTTGGTCATGTATGCAGTCTCTCATCTTTGTTGTGTTGGTGAGACTCCTCACTTGCTTGACTAACATAAGTAATCAATTAAAGCCTTTTTAGCTGTAACTGTTTTGAGATTAAAAGCAATTAAATATAATGTGGATATTAGACAGAAATAAGCAAATGCAAAATGCAGTTTTTAAATAAAGATTTTATTGATTAAGGAAGAAAATTGGCACTGGTCCTGTGTGAAAAAGTAATTGACCCTCTTGTTACATCATGAATTAACTGTGATTAATCTCATTTTTTGGGAAGCTGAGTTCAGTTTCACTAAACAGGCTCAGACATGATTACTGGCAGACCTGCTGAATCAGGAAATCACTTACATAGAACCTGTCTGACAAAGTGAAACAGGTTAAAAGATCCCCAAAAGCAACGCATCATGCTACAATCTAAAGAAACACCTGAGAAACAAAGTCACTAACATCTATCAGCCTGGAAAGGGTTCAGAGCCATTTCCAAGGCTCCAGGACTCCAGTGAATCACTGTGAGAGTCATTATTTACACATGGGGAAAACTTGGAACAGTGGTTAACCTTCCCAGGAATGACCGGCTCCAAAAGCACATTGATGACTCATCCAGGAGATCACAAAATAACCCAGAACAACATTAAAGAACCACAGGCTTCACATGTCTCAGTTAAGTTCAGAGTTCATGATTCAGCCATAGGAAGGAGACTGGGGGAAAATGGCACCGAAGGGAGAGTTCAAGGAGAAAACCACATCAAAAAGAACACAAAGGTTCATCTTATATTTGCCAAAAAAAACAAAACGTCTGGATGATACCCAAGAGAGAAAGCTAAACTTTTTGAAAGGTTTCAGTCCCATTATGTCTGCCGTAAAAGTAACGGCAGACATAAACACTGCATTTCAGAATACCAACAGTAAAATATGGTGGTGGTAGTGTGATGGTCTGGGGCTGTTTTGCTGCCTCACGACCTGAAGGACTTGCTGTAGTAAATGGAACCATGAATTCTGATGTCTATCAAAACATCCCGAAGCAGAATGTCTGGCCATCTGTTCGTGACCTCAAGCTGAAGTGCACTTGGGTTCTCAAGCAGGACAATGATCCAAAATACAAAAGCAGGTCCACCTCTGAATGTCATAAGATGGCTCAAATATCTCATCTCATCTGATCACACTGAGTCTGCTTTTTCAGTCAGAAAGCTGATACACTGAAAAAAAGGGTTTGGCCAGCTCTTGGATTTACGTAAGCATCTTGCGTGTATTTAACACAATTGCCTCATGCTTTAAAGTTAAGTGTAACTACATAGTGTAGAAACTACATGATATGAAGAGGCTAGATTAAATTGTTCATATCATGTTCAAGTGAAGTAAGTCAATACCGGTAATATATCACTGCACGGGTTTCAGACTCGCGCTCTTTAGATCGTGGTTTCAGGAAGGCATCCATCTCAGTCAAGTCGAGCCGCCACCTCTACTTTTTTTAGTATACCAAAAAAAGTAAATTGGGTGGTTGTTACATTAAAAAAGTCTAATTTGTAATTTGAACACAGTAATTTCATGTTTCTATGAACGTAATTAAATCATGAAGGATCTGTACGAAATTCAACAACTTAATTTGTTCTTGTTGACATTACATGATACAATCTAGTAAGAGTGGTTAGTTGCTGAACTCATGAAATTCACAAGATCGCACAAGATTTCAAACTGCAGGAAAATCACTGGAGTTATAAGAGGCAGACAACTGCACACTCACCACGTGCATGCTATTGCTATTTATTGTGTATTATTACAAAAACAAAAAAATTCTGCATCAAATACAAGAAATCATAGCTTTCCTACATTTCCTAGATTGTTGGCATGGTGGTTAGTGCTGTTGCTTCACTGTAAGAAGGTCCTGTGTTCAAATCCACATTCTGGCTAGTTTGCAGGTTTCTCTCTGGGTATTCTGGTTTCCTCCCACAGTTAAAAGTCATGCATTTATTAGAGTTAGGGTTAACTGGTGATTCTAAATTACCTGTGAATGTAAGTGTAAATGCTTGTTTGTTTCTATGTGATAGACTGGTCAGCTGTCCAGGGTGTACCCTGCCTTGTAACCTATAACTTCAGGGTTATTTCCCAGCCCTCCTGCAACCAGGATAAAGGTAGAAGGATGGTATTTGTTAAGACCCATTCAATTTTTATGGTAACCAGGATCTAGACTTTGTTGAACATTATGTAATATGAAGACAGCAAGTAGTATTTAAGTGACCAAGTAGTATTGGGGTAAAAGTTATTGAATAGTGTTGAAATAAAATGACAAAATTGTGAAGGATTAAAATATTCCAAGAGCTCAACATACTTCATCTGAACATGTTTCAATCGCGTTTTATGAACACAAAATGCACAGGTTTACTGAATATGAAAAAGTTGTGTTGATTTAACTCAGTTGTTTAAGTTTCTGCCAAAGCAAAACATTTGTGTGCAACCAATGTCCACTATTGAATCAAGTAAATCCAACATGGTCTTTTTTTCAGTGTAGGAAAGCAACTGTTACTTAAATAACCACTCATTACAACCAAGCCAGACAGAAGAGCATCTCTGAATGTATGACATGCCGAAACCAGAAGCAGATGGGCCACACTGGGTACCACTTCTGTCAGTTAAGAACAGGAAACTTAGGCAGTGGTACTAGTAAGTACTAAACAAATTGTCTAATGAGCGCATATATGAATCCTTTAAACAGAATCAGGATTGTTGTTCTTATAGAGCTCAACGTTTACCTTTATGACACATTGTGAACATACTATAACGATCAGAACCTAGATCCAGAACTGTTTTGCACTTTTATTTTATCAGCTAATCAAAAAAAAATAATAGAAAGATCACAAATAAGAAAACATTTGTCTCATTTCCACCTGTGTTAAGTCTTTGGTGATCACTGTTAAATATGAAGAGCAAAACTGACCTCGTTGTTGACCAGCAGCTCTATTGGAGCTATAGATGCAGGGGGGAATCCCTGCTCCTCGTCTCTGTTCAGGCCCTGTGCTATGTGGCTGGTTTCGAACAGAGCATCTTTGATGAGGACAGACAAAGCTCGCAGGATGAAAGAGGCAAAAAGATTCATGTGGATGTTATTCCTCATGCAGTGGAGTTTCCTGATGAAGGAGAAGCAACAATCATCCAAGAGGTAATCTGTTGGTGTATCAATCATCTGGTTTTCCTCTCTTAAAATGTGCTTGAAATGATTTAAGGTGTAAATGATTATTACCTAAAGAATATGAGGATGCCAAGAGCCAACACTAAAGCCACCAGGGATAAGGAATAGCCCACCGTGTACATGATCCGAATATGGACATAGTACTGCTGCAGATCAGAGCACACGTTTGTTAAATCTTTTTCATTTTTATTTTTTATTTATAGTAAAATTAGACAAAATCTCTTTATTCTTTAGCTTCTCTCAGCTATATCTAATGCTTTCAGATCAAATAGAATAAAAAAAGACTATTCTTACCAGATGTGGTGCTTGTTCATGAGAATCACACTCGCTGGTATTATATGTAGTCACCCACTGGCCATTCACATCACATTCCTGATACACCACGCCATGCTGAACTACACGCACACACACACAGAAACAGACCTCTGCGATTTACTGAGAAGTCCAGTCATAGGCAGCTGTCCTTCTCTGCAGGGCATTTTAAGTGACCTGGCATGAGCATGTCTGAAATATTGTGTATGGCCAAAAACTCACACATCTCTTACCTTTACGGTGCCATGGCAAATACCACGGGCATGGCACAACAACAGTAGTGTTAGGGAGTCCATCGGGCCAACAGGCATAATTGTTAAAAGTCCTGTTGCACACCAGGTCTGTGATTAAACAAAAAAAACCATAACATCATAATATATATGCTGAGAAACCACAGACTAACCCTGTGATTCTAAATCTTGCAGAATGCAGTAAAAATTAATTATATATTATATATTTGGAATGATTGCTGCTAGTAGCTATTATGTAAACATCAGGGCAATTTAGCTTGACTTCAGAGTCCTTACAGTATATCACGTCTTCAATCGTGTTTCAGAACAGAGGACCAAAACAACATTAACTATACGGAGAGATGGGTGTTCGTGAAGTGATGTATAGGCTAAGCTGCTCTTACGCTAATGGAGGGTGACAGGAAAGGTATGTAAGTGCTGCAAAGTGGTGTGATTTTGCATGCAGTGTGGGAAGCAGCCTTTCTGAAAGTTGGAGCAATCTGCTGCACTAACCAGCGAGCATAAAACATGATAACGGTCTTTAATGCGACTGAAGGGTAGCGTTTAGCGTGTAGTTAAACATTTTGCAGATGGGAGCTGCTTTTTACTAAGCATGAGCAGAAAGTGAGCATGGTGTAGTAAATGTATGACTGGAGAGGAAATCGCTGCCGCCTCATGGACTGGTGAGCAAGCTGTTACCTGTTCTGCAACATTAAAAGGCTTTTCTCAACAATGTGTTTGCAAATCATACAAATATCTCTTACTGTCGCATTTACATTGCTCCGAAATGTTGCATATTTTGCTGAAGTGGTTATAATTAATAGTTTTGCATTAAAAGGTTATAATACCTTTCTGTTGGTTCACTGTCATAGCCCAACTCAACTCTAAAATGTCTGCTTTGAATTCTAAAGAGCAAACTATTATAGTTACCATCTAGCTAATGTGTTTACTGAAGTAGTTGCTCTTGAGTTTCATACTCCTTAGCTACCACGGCCCCTTTATATTTATTTCATTTAGCCTGATGGAAAAGGACCTCCCTATTCCTTCTCCTTTTCCTTCATTACAATTGCTTTAAAGTGTCTTTGTGCTGGTTTCATCTTTGGCTTGGGCTGTTGGCGTTGTGTTCATGCCTAAATACTAAGAGAAAGATCATATGGGACGCCTAGCAGAGGCCCCAGTCCGTGAGATCTTCAACGCACACCTCCGGCAGAGCTTCACCAGCATTTTAGAGGGAGACTGGGGACATTGTCCGAATGGACCATGTTCAGCATCTCCATTGCTGAAGCTGCTGCATTGAGCTGTGGCCGCAAGGTGGTTGGTGCCTGTCGTGGTGGTAACCCCTAAACAAATGGTGGATACCAGAGGTGAAGGGAGCCACCAGGCTGAAGAAGGAGTCCTATCGGGCTTGGTTAGCCTGTGGGACTTCGGAGGCAGCTGACAGGTACTGACAAGCCAAGCGGAATGCGACTCGGGCAGTGGCAAAAACTCGGATGTGGGAGGAGTTCGGAGAGGCCATGGAAAAAGACTTTCGGACTGCCTCGAAGAGATTCTGGCAAACCGTCAGGCGTCTCAGGAGGGGAAAGCGGTGCTCTACCTGCACTGTGTATAGTTCTGGTGGAGCGCTGCTGACTTCGACTGAGAAAATTGTCGGGCGGTGGAAGGAATACTTCAAGGACCTCCTTAATCCCACTGACACGTCTTCCGATGAGGAAGCAGAGTCTGGGGATGAGCGGGTTGACCCACCAATTTCTGGGGGCGAGGTCACTGAGGTAGTTAAACAACTCCTTGGTGGCAGAACCCCTGATGTGGATGAGGTCCGCCCCGAGTTTCTGAAGGCTCTGGACATTCTAAGGCTGTCCTGGTTGACAGGCCTCTACAACGTTGCGTGGAGATCTGGGGCAGTACCCCTGGACTGGCAGACCGGGGTGGTGGTCCCCATTTTTAAGAAGGGGGACCGGAGGGTGTGTTCCAACTACAGGGGGATCACACTCCTCAGCCTCCCTGGGAAAGTCTATGCCAGGGTGCTGGAAAGGAGAGTTCGTCCGATAGTCAAACCTCAGATACAGGAGGAACAATGCGGTTTTTGTCCTGGTCGCGGAACACTGGACCAGCTCTTTATCCTCTCAAGGATACTTGAGGGTGCATGGGAGTTTGCCCAACCAGTCTACATGTGTTTTGTGGACTTGGAGAAGGCATTCGACCGTGTGGTTCTGTTGGCTTCATCGGGTGATGGCCTCCAGCTCACACTGGAACGGTTCGCAACCAAGTGTGAAGCAGCGGGAATGAGGTTCAGCACCTCCAAATCTGAGACCAGACAGATTTTAGTATACTGTGATATATTATGCTGTTGTCACTTGGTCAGAGTGAAATATTATGGCGTTATTTTTGTGCCACTATTCTGAGCGCACGTAAAAGAAATCTGAGGGTACTTTAAAAAAAAATTGCAGGTGCAAGTGTTGCATTTTGAGGAGAAGTTTATTTTGAGCGAAGAAAAGCTACATTTCAATGAACAAAATTCATTGCTGCGTGCAAAAAATGTATTTCAGTGTTATTGATTATCTATACACACACACAATAGCATCCTCTCTCCCTCAGTTTTTGCGTTTGCGCTCGCTTGCAATGTGTTGCTTGTACTCTCAACATTTCTGCCCGTGCGTGTTCAACGCTTTCTGTACACCATTATATTTGTGCCACAAAACCAGCCAATCACAGACTTGGATGCAACAAAATCTGATTGGCTGTTTTGGTCTCCAATCAGCTCAAAATGACGAAATGCAATATCCCAGAATCCATTTCGTCCAAAACTCAAATGAGGCAGTGGCGGAGGAACACAGAGTGGCGGAGTTTGAAATATTGCTCTTTCTGGGTCACAAAATAAACTTTTAAGATATTTTCATGCTAGAATGGTGCTGTGTGAACTTCAAATATCTGCTCGATTTATCAAGACATCACATATTTGCAAAAGTGCTCTAACGTTTTTGGAAATGCCTGTTAAATTTTTTTTACGTGCACTCAGAATAGTGGCACAAAAATAACGCCATATAAAACTGGATGATATCTCCAATGAATGAGTAACACTTAGAAACTTTTGGTAAATGGTGCAGGTTGGATTTTAATTGCAGTGTGAAAGGGCCTAAAGTTAAAATTAAATTACAAGTCTAACACAGTGTTTAGCTCACCGGTGCTTGGTGGATCTTGGCTGTTGTTGCGTTCACACTCTTTCCTGTACAATTCCCAGCGCTCCGTCACCTTTTGCAGGGAAACAACAGCAGAAACCTAAGGAGACAATAACAGCAACACAATTAAAGAAAAAATATCTGGAAGGTCTGTTTTCCTGGAGACTTACGGATACATTTCAACCAGATAGACATGAAGAATACTGAGAACATGAACCTCGTGCAAAGCAACTGGCCAGCTGACGTTCATTTGTTTCAGTTCACTTTATATATACGGTAGCTGTAAACAACTGGTTGTCATACTGGGGATTTAATCAATCAAAATAAGACCTTGTCACACGATAATACTGTACTTACGCTACTGTACAGAGTGTTTAGGTTTCTGTAACTCTCTAAGACAAGTCTTAACTGAGATAGATAGATAGATAGATAGATAGATAGATAGATAGATAGATAGATAGATAGATAGATAGATAGATAGATAGATAGATAGATA